TACCTTTGAAGATGTGCAATTTTACATTATGGAGAATTCACTGTCTTCTGAAGACAATAAGCAGTATTCTGTCTAAGCGGATGATTTAATACCGAACCATGGTTCCACATCAAAAGCTTTGACATGGCTCAGTTTTGACAAGTTTGATGCTGGTCAAAATAACTTTTCTGCAGAGTTCTTGCCAAATTTGTGTGCCAGATCAAATAAATTGTACTGTTTGTCTGTTCAATTTCAAATATTTCACTTGGATTACATTCCGATGTCTTACCTTAAAGATAAACTTACTTTTTATTTGTTGCATACTAAAAACCCTTGTGAGCACACAAGGAATTTGGAATATTCCCCTGTGATTTATGTACAGCCTAGATATACCTTGAGCCTGTCACTTATGACCATAGGATGTTGTTGAACATTGTAGAATATTGTTTGTTTTGCAGCAGGGTATGAGATATATGTTTGTGTGCATGATGTGAAGATGTTTGAAGCACTTTAAAAAATAAACAACAGCAATTGTTTTGAAACACTGTGTCTATCCACAGTTGTACTGGTAAGCAAGCAGGGTATTACAGCATTTTTAGCTTAATTAAAAGAAAACAGAAAGAAAGAAAAAGGATACCGTCAGATTATTGTTAAAATCAAGATTTTTTCTCCATACCAGCCACGCCAAACTTAACCATAACTATATCTTCAATAATAATAATTATTGTAATTGTTGGCCCTGCGATGGACTGGCGAACTGTCCAGGTTGTACCCCGCCTCTCGCCCGTTGACAACTGGGATAGGCTCCAGTTCTCCCCGTGACCCCATCAGGGAATAAGCGGAAGTGATAATGGATGGATGGATGGATTATAATTGTTATGAAATAGAACAAACCGTTCTTACAGGTAATGACAAGCTTTCTTAATGTTACTGATGGATCTTTGAGGCATTCTTTTTCTGCGACAACCTGAGCGGCGGGCTTTACCAGGATCATACTAAACATGTGTTTTCCTTCACTGTTTTATGCTACATGAAGATAAATTTCTCTACAATCATAATTGAGGCTGCATTGATAAGGTTTTCTTATATAGGCAACCTCAAAAACACCCTCAAAAACGTAGATACCGGCAAGTAAACTTGATCAAAGTCCAACTTTGCTTTTACCCACAAACACCAGCCTTGTACCGAGTCTGTTTTGTGATGTGGGTTTCAGCATTGCTCAGATTCATCACCAAAGGACCTATGGGCCTTGGACAATATTTAGAATGAGATAAGACTTAAAAAATATAGGAAGAAAACCTTTGAAAATATTTGGGAAAACATCCTAAATTGCAGCTTTTTAATCAACATTTCCTAATTCATAAGAATGTATTACATAGAAACACCACACTTTTCAATTTAACATTTAACCTAATTGCAAATTCATTTGTATTAATAATGCATCTTGTCTGGACCGAAAATTGTTTAAAATACTCAGAGGAGCTAGAAAGTGAAGAAGTTACTTTTTATTCCTTTTTCTTTTCAACCTATTACAACCAAAACATAGATAAAAAAGGATCATCAACAACATGGGAGAGCATGAATTTAAATATATTCGTGCTGTTTAGATAACTCCAGATCATAAGATGTAAATGTCCAACTGCTTATTAAAAATCACAGACATCAAAGCTCATCGGACCCGTTCAATGTCTGCTGCATTATTAACAAAGCTGCTGAAGGAGGCCCACTTCAGAGGCTGAGGACTACTTGATAACTAACTCAAGAGAGCCCAAGAGATAGCAAAGAAACTGAGGCAGACACAGGTCCAAAAAGCATTTTTGACCAGCTGTTTGCTGACTTTGAACGACCAATGGCTGGAGGAGCTATTTTTATCCCCCTGTGCTCTGCACACCATGATAAAAGCCCACATCTGGACTAGTTTTGAAGATTGAAATGATGTGATGACGATCGACATGCTGTGTACATTTTTTCCTCCCAGTAAACATTAGAGCTGGCTCCTGATGTTTCATATTTTCTGGTGTGCCATTTCCCCAGTTCTGTGGCATGCTGAGATGACTTCCTTTCCTGCCTTTACTCCCCCTGCCTTGTGCATCCTCACTAATCAAAGGGGTTCCTACTTATTTGGCATTTAGGAGGAAGGATGCTCGCACAGATGTTTACCCCCCCCACATCATACTCTGAGCCTCTCTCCCAACGTCAGCTGGGTTTGGTTAGACTCTGACCCCCCTTGACCCTGCAAGGAATAAGTTGTATAGAGGATGAATGAATCAAAGATCAAACTCTGATAAAATATGTAATATTTTCACAGTGTTCTCTGTATTTGAATAAACCAGAGCGTGTTATGTCACCGGTAATGCAAAGCTAGAGGGGGGTTCACTAACATATTAATTGATTTGGGTCAATTAATCCAGCACAGATGGATGAATGTAGAACAAAGTACGGGCATTGTGGTGTTAATTTCTCGGCTCGCAATGGGAAGTGCATGTTCAACCTACCATAAGGACTGTACAGCATTATCACATACATCCCCTTTCACTGGAACACTAACTAATCCTCAAAGAGCTTTTTCAACCCCAGGCGTTCCTTCACATCACACACACCAGGTGAAAATGACAAAAAAGTTTGGTGCCATAGATAAATGGGGACATACAGTGGGGGAAATAAGTATTTGACCCCTTGCTGATTTTGCAGGTTTGCCCACTTACAAAGAATGCAACGATCTATAACTTTAATCATATGTACATTCTAACAGTGAAAGACAGAATCCCAAAGAAAATTCCAGAAAATCACATCATATGAATTTATAAAAAATTGATAACCATCTGATGAGGAAAAATAAGCATTCATTGTAAGTGGGCAAACCTGCAAAATCAGCAAGGGGTCAAATACTTATTTCCCCCACTGTATATAGAAATAAAAAAAAGTCTACAGATGCAAACAGTTGGGTGTGTTTGCATATATGCTGCAAGCTTAATCTTATTAAAATCCATATTCTTCAATTCTTAATGTGCAAAGAGGGTATTTCCCTTTTGCACAGTATAACGTACTGGGAAAAAACTGTATTTTTCCCTTTACTGTCAGATGGAAATGACACAATTGTCAGAATCTTACCATCTATGTTTTCCCTGTCGCTGATGTGCTGGAGGTTGCAGCCCGTGTCCTCACGACTCAGCTCCGGCTCCGGCCGATAGGGCTCCAGCCTGGAGTGGTTGTTCCTCCGGTGTTTTGGACTCGACGACACACAGCAGGAGGTCGTATTCCCCATTTTTCAAACAGATTTTTTTGGTGACAGTCCTCGCTCGCGCGCTGTATTTTCTGCCCCCTTTTTTTTTTAAAAAAAAGTGGTTCTCCAAGGGAGAAAAAACGGGGCGGTAACGCAGATACAAACCTGGCGCAAACTACAAACTGGCCCCCGGCATCCGCTGGGGTTACACGCCCTACTCCGGCAAGTCAAGCACACTTAGCAGGGCATGCGAGACCATTTCAGTTGATTAAAAAATTCAAAACAAAAAAACAAGACATGAAGATACATTTGTAGAGTAGCCCCTTCCAAACCTCCAAACGAGATTAGGAAGTCTTTGAACGGGATTCCTATCCACTGTCGACTCCTTCGTCTCGTAGTTCCTGACCGACAGTCCAGTTATCTTCACGAAAACATTTTCATGGTCTCAGATATCGTGTTAACGCCACTGAACGTGGGGATATCGTAACTGAGCAAGATGGAGCAGAAATATTTTAGCGTTCACTGCTACATGGTTGCCAGAATACTGTAGATTGCTGCTTTTGCTACATCCGCTATAGTGTTGCTTTTAGGTCCCTTGCAAAAAGTCGGGCTTTCAGGCAGTCGACTTTTAAGTTTTAAGGCTCGGACCTCGCAAATAAAAGCATTAAAAATAGCTCTTTAGAAAGTCTTGAAATGAAAGCTATACTCCGAGAGCATGTTTATTACCTCTAAATGTTATTTAAAATCGGAGCCAAAATTCAATTCAGCTCAACTTTGTTATTTGACTGACCAATTTACCAAATATTTACTATATGATAAAATGGCCCTAATAGATTACACTTTTACTAGTATAATTTGAGTCACGAATGATTTCTATGTCACAATTTCTGTTGTAAGATGTTGAAAAAAGAAAGAAAAAAAATACATGGTTTTCACGAATACTTGAACATATCAACGTTGTGGCTGCAATGGAAACGGTTCCGGTTCAAGTGGGCGGTTACAACTGTATAATAATTACATTTGAATTATATTCTCCAGGAGCATATTTAATTAATCAAGTAGAATAACATAAAATATAATTAGACCATTTTCTGGCTTAAATATCTGGCTGAAATCGCCTACATTAATGATTCTGATCTACTGAGTTTTTAAACGTGGGCACTGTCATAACGCTTGTTCAAGTCAATAAATCATTTCGTCACGACTAAATACTGTACTGCCCATTAGAATTGTGATTATCCTGTGATTAAATAAAATGTCTGTTTAACCATCACTGTTGGACTATTGTTGGAGTAACCTACGGAAGACATGTCTTTTTTCCGTGGTTGGGATGGTTCTTGTAATCAGATCTTGTATTATGGTGCCTCCTGCTGCTCTGGCAGATGCATTGCAAGTTTGTAGGGTGACACTATACTTTGGGTATTATTCGTGTGGTCTTCAGTTAGCTGTTTTATTTTTGTTTTTCCACGGTGGAGAAACGCCAGAGTTTGCTCTATCTTAAAACGTTCCCAGTGGTTTCATGCACAAAGTACAGACCAGTCATATTTGTTCATGTTTTCATGTTACTCCAGCAAACTGCACATGGAAATGAGACAGAATCATTACAGCAAAAGGATAATGCTTAAAAAAAACATGTACGTTTTCCATCATTATTTTTGTAAAAATTAGGTTTGGTCACTTGAGGTCAGTATGAAAGAATTGCGACGCTTACAAAGTGAGAAAATGCTCATCTTCATACCATATGGGCACAGCAACACTGGTTCTAATATTTTTTAATTACCTTAAAAACATTGTAGCTCTATCACAATATTTTATTGTACTCCACAAAAGCAAAAAAAAGATCAGCAAAAGAAGAAATTGCTTTAATAATCAGAGATAGTCCTCACAAGGAGAAGCTTTTGTAGGCTTAAAAAAGAAGACTGTGTACTGCAAATACCCAGAGCGGATATATAAATGGTGATAATAGCAAACACTATTGATTTTACATCTAATGGCAGTTAAATTCACTTCCTGAAACATATTTTACAATTGGAGTTGTCAAGCCTGAGCACTGTACACAACATAAAGCCTAAGTTCCTCACCTTTGTTATCTATGAAAACAATACATAGAGATTCTACATGAACTTAATTAAACCAAGAAGTTTAGAAACTCTGAATTAAGTCAGTTAATACAAGGACATTGACTTCAGAGGAGTAAGATAAAAACCTGACATAGAGTTACAAAGCTGGATTTAGAAAAATGTACACTTATTCAATTTACCAAATTCACCAGAAAACACAAAATTGGATCAAGGTGGATAAAAACATGAAGTTAATATTTAACTAAATAAATATACACAAATCCATGCAGTTTCTATTTTGATCGCTAGGCTGTAATAAATAGTGATTTCTCAAAGGGGTGACCCACAAATCCTGGTCTGTCTTTTAGTTAGATATAAAAGATTGTCCCTGCAACTATAATTTTGCTATGACATAGAATGAAATATAACTTTGTGCTTCCCCACTGATCAATAACTTAGTTTATGATACCGTTTAAAAATCGTAAAACTCTTCATATCAATCAATCAATAAAGGAATTCAAGTTAGCCAAATTGTAAAAAGAATTATTATGAAATGTAAAATGCAGCATAAATAAGTACAGATTGTTTTACTGCAGCTCAACATCAGAATCTTCATTTCTAATGAGGAAAAAATTCTCCTTATTCCTTTCTTCTTTTCATGCCTCTTCTGAAAGTTTGCTTGCACAAAGCTCCTCATATTACGCAGTTGTAGCTGTGTGTTTGTTGCTTATTGAATAAAAAGAGCCTGAAACATTAACATCATTTCGTAAACACATTAAACAAGAAGAGCAAGGAGTGTTATTATAAGTGTCTTTATACAGAAGCAGAGTCCTCAATTTCGAAGGACACGTCTCACATAAACCAGTTCCTCGTCAGATGGGAGGAATCACTCCACTTTGTGTCGATATATGTCTTTTAATGCTTTAAGTTCTTCTATTAGAGTCTTGTTTTGATTTTCCAGCACAGCCACACGATTTTCAAGGCATCTGACGTATTCCTTCTTCTTTCGCCGACACTCCCGTGCAGCTTCCCTGAAAGCAACAACAGTTGTTAATGCCTTTGAATCTTGTATTGGCTTCCCTCTTAAATTCAACAGAGAGGTTATTCTGGCAACAAATAACAAAGACTTTTTCATGTAGAGTCAGAATGTTTGGATGAAAGCGATGATTAAAATTACTTTAACTCTCAATTGATAGCTCTAACATTAACTCCACTTTGACGGTCGGGATTGACATTTGGATTAAACCCAAGAAGACGAACAATTTTCTGGAGTACATTAACTGGAATCTTGCCGATGTAACATTATGGGGTTGTAGTTGTTTTTGGAATACTGTGAAACGTTATAGGTAAGTCAGATGTTGCTTTTTATTTGCGACTGCTTTGACATCAGTCTTTACTGTCTCCACAATTATGATTTGTTTTGGACATGGAATCTCAGGAACTTTATCTTTCCAATAGTGTATAACATGTTGCAAGTGGGGCTGATGAAAACTTCAGATTTGTCCTGAAATATGCAACACAGAACGTTAGAATCTTAAGGACTTAATCAATTTCCACCCCAGAGAAGAAGACCTATTCACATATCCTTGGACACAAAGTACTGACATTTGGTCATGTGAACTGACTCACTTTGCTTCAAACATAGATAGAGCAGATGACCTAAGAATTACCAGGTAAACACCTTGGATGGAGGGCAATCATGTGGTGGAATGATGACATTCTGAAACTAATCATTACATGTCTTCATCTTATCCATTGTCATTTAGTTGTTTGTATGGAGGCTCAACAAACAGAGACAATCGCCAAGGGTGTTGAATAATATAGTGCTTAACTCATCCCTGTTTTTAAAGTTTAAAGAGGATTCAGACATTCTCGCAATCTTTCATAATGTAACAATACCTTTTCTGGTATTCTGGTGTAATCTCAATCATTCACATTTTCAGGATAATCTGTTGGATTCTGAAGTTCAAAAAATTTTCTGCTAATCCAAATGCCGGTAGAATTTAATGATGAGTTAAAAGAAGTTTGTGTTCACATTGAGTTTCAAGATCAGTAAAACTATGATTGATTTTTTCATTATATACTGAATTACTTTTCATGTTTAGCATGTGTTGATAAATAGCTGCACCTAGTCTTAATTTAAACTGAACAGTATTTTTACGTCCAAATCGGTATAGATTAATGGTATCTGTTGGTAAATGTAATGCACCCTCTACCTGTTCTTCATTAAGCGGAGCTCCCTCCTCTGTAAGTCGTCCTCTGGATTTTTCTTGGAAGTGTGGGCATCACCCCCTTTGTTCCCCAGGTAGAGGGAGGTTGAGTTATGCAGCTGGCAGTTGGTCAAGTCAGGTGCAGCGCCTTAAAATGTGTCAAACAAACAATATGGAAAAGCAAAGGATTTAGCTTTATCACTCATCTTTAAATTAATAAAAAACATTTTTGTTTTTGGAAACTATCCACGAGGAATAATCACTAACATTTTCAAAGCGTCAGAAAAGGGACTGCTGATAGCAGCTTAACAAGAAGCAAGTAGAGGTAAAAGCTATGCATATTACTGAAAAACAATAGTTTTAGGAACAAATGAAGAATCATTAAAAATTTCCCAAAGCCAACGATGACATATTCAAATAGCTATTTGATTATTTGTATTTACATAATTAATCAAATGTACAATCAGGGATTAAAGTGTCAACTATTTCAGCGCTAATATCAGAAAATACTTGATTATGTTGTAAAATTATATCTTAAAATCTAACATCAAATCTTACATTCAAAAGGACACTTTGACCATTCAGATTTTTTCCTTAAATTAAATTTTAAACCTTTCATATATAATAAAAAATGCACACAATTTGAATTAATACACTTTAGTGTGGTAGTATTTATATTGCTGCCTGTTACCGGTCTAAATATTAGATGATAAATTAAACCCTTAAAAAGCTGCTCTGTGTGGAAGTTTTGTGTGGCGACAGTCATTTCAATCTGGTAATAGGCTAATCTCATAATATACTAAATGATATTAACCACTCAATATGCTTTCACTTCAGAGAAATAACTCAATAACAAACATCTTAAATAATGCTCTTATGAAACTTTCTAATGCAATCCCCCACGTATGTTTTCCTTTTAATGTATTACTACTATTTTAAATACATATCTATACAGATACAAATCCTTCATTTTCTGAAATAAAGCTGCTTTGTTCAAATAAAGAACTGACGGTGCCATTCTCATCTCCTTTTCTATGCCAGTGACCCACATATCATAACGCACAGCCGATTAATTCTGTGACATATTGGACTTGCAAAAAGAGTCGCCAGTTATCACAGCATGGACAGCGACTGACGTCAATGCGCGTCTTATTTTGCCACTTTGCATTTACATGTCGCTGCTGGGGGCCTGTTCCAGGAAAAGCAGTGACGTCAGCCACTGCTGCTATGTGCCTCTGTGTGGGCAGCACAGTGAAGCACTTCACAGAGGAGAGAAAGAGCAGGAGTGAGGAGAGGAAGAAGGAGAGTGAGAAATAGAGGGGAGTCAATTTCTTTTGATAATCTTTCTAACTGAGCCTCTTGTTGCTGACTGTGACTGATATTTCACTGAATAATTCGCTACTGATTAATTATTTTCCTGAGTGGGGGACCTGTCATATTATTTTATGAAAATGCTTTTCACCCCAGCCGCTTTGTTCATATTGACAGGATAATATGACCTAACATCTTCAGAGCATAGCTGACAGTAATCACAATCTTTAAGTCCAAAAGTTCATGTTTTGCAGCCTCACCCACTACTGACTGTATTCTAAAAGTCATCAACATAGTTTACATGAACAACAAAGTAAAAATATTAAGACATACCAGCTTCTGTCTCATCCCCAGTTACAGCCATACTGTATCTAGTCCCAGGTTTTCCAGGAGACACTGTCTTCCTTTGAGTCTTCTCTTGAACTGAATTGTACTCAAAGCCAACAGCGATGCTATGCGTGCAATTTACAATTAGAGCCATTGACATCACCATGACATCACTGGCCTCCTGATGTCAACAGTATGGTTTGCTCTCTCTCTCTCACTCGAAAGTGTTATGAGTCAGAGACTCTGCTGTTTGTTTAGGAAAGGAATTTTCCTCAGCTAAACAGAAGCTCTTCTTCAGTTATTGATGATTGATGATGGCTTTTGAAGACTGATAGGCAATACACACTACAGAAAATCCTTTTTAATATAAAAACATTCCTGGTTTTGTCATATAATGTGATTTTAGGATTGGATCAGAATAGGTGTTTTAACACACATCCGATATGACAGTATTAGACACTTGAACATTAGGGGTAGAACATTTAGTAACCAATATTGAAGAAAGGGGGGTTACCTGGCCGTAACGGTACACCAACATTCGGTGGGCCACCCACAACATGCCAACGCTCAACCTTGTGCTCAAAAGTTCTCTGTAGGAGCTGTGGTGGTTGTGTGCTGCCCATAGGCACGGATGGCCACATTTGAGTCCCATCATTAAACTGTGCAGGACCTGTTGGATGTAAAAAAAAAAAGAATAAAGAAAAAAGGTTTTGTTAACAGTAATGGCATAGTTCACTTTATCCCTTGGCTGACACTCACACAACAAGGTTCATTTTATGGTGAACGTGTGTTATTTTTTGGGATTGTTTAGTATGATAAATTGTTTTATCAAAGATAAAGATACATTTGACCAGATCTGTCTTCTGAGGGTGATAACTCACTCATAGTGGACATTTAGAATCAACAGAAACTCAGATTACCCAGAAAGATGCATTTATGCATGTGAATGCATACATGTTCACATGTATAAACACTCACACAATAAAAAGACATAAAAAACAACACCCAAACACATACAAAAATTACTTGCTGAAGGTGGTGGCTACCCTAATTACAAATGTATGCGCTTTCACGTGTGCTTACAGCATTGCATTCGGCCTGTTTGGTGGTATACAGGTGTCATAAAACAGGGCATGGAAGCATGTGGCTGTCCCCCTTCGTCCATCTTCATTAGGTTCATTGTCACAGTCAGGTCTGAAAAAAATTCATGTTAGTAAAAGTGATCAAATGAAATACTTCTGTGGTTAAATTATGTGAAATGTGCTGGTTTATGAGAAATCAAAAGGTTTTATGAAGGATGTAAAATGCATTTTTATTTCTCCCATGGGATTTATATAAGGTGAGAGAGGTTTGCATTGAAATTATTATTGTATCGTTATCACATTATTGTACAATCATCTGTATTAAATGACTTTTCAGTTATTATTGTGGGTACAACACACAATGCACATAAATGTCTCCCTCTGCTGGTGTCATGGAGGAATCTAACCATTAGCCGGCTATAAAATATCAATTCATGCAAATTTAACTTAAAAGACCATTTGGACCATTTTTGAATTAGTAAAATGTAACTTAGCTGGCTGATATTGACGACAAACTGTTTTGTCAAGCCCTGTTATGACTTCATATAAATAAGTTATCGAATGTTATAAACATTTCCAGGGAATAAGGACTATACTGACAAACACTCACCTCAAATCAACCAAGCTGTCTTAATGAAACTACTCATGAGCCATAATAAAAAGTATCTACCGCTACCAAAACTAAATAAATAGTAATGTTTTTGGCGTCAGTTGGAACCTAAGACCGTTAGGTATTTTTGGAATCCTCTGATTGGTTGACTTATAAAGCGCCCGTTTTTTTTCTATTTTCTTATAAAGAACATCTAACGCGAGTATGTTTTGAATGTAAAAGAAAATACTCAGTACGGAAACAGTTTGCAAACTATTTTCAATTGTTTATCTGATATTTCTCTCTAGCAATAAAAAATAAACCTATATTCACAGTCTAAGTAACTAATTTGCTTGGGGATTTACTTAAGCTATATGTAAAGTTTACACCATATCAAAGTTGTCCCTTTTTGTATAAAAAAGTATATATGACATAGATTAAGACAGTAGAATCAGTTTCCTTATTTCCTAACAGGTTTCCGTAGTTTTAGGCTATACCATTGTAACACGGGTGTTGTTTGACATTTTCTTTTTATCGTTGGTATGAAAAGATCACGAATATTTATTTGAATGTTATCATATTTAAGGAATTTGGTGTTATGAGCATATGTCATTCGTGTTTTGCAACCAATATATGGTTGTTCATTATACATCCCCATCGAACTCAAATGGTATATCCCAGAGGTAGCCAAGACCAGTGAGACAAATCAAGCTGTGACAGCGGACAAACCGGAGTTTTATAACAAGTAAATATTGTATAGAGGTATGCCCTATTCTGAAGTCCTCATTGGACCTTAAAAACTAGTTTTGTGTAACAGCAATGCCTTTTTTTGCCGAACTGTCAGAGTGAATGTGAGGAAACTATTAAGATGACAATTTGCTAGCGATAGCTGGACTCTCGTTAGCACCCTGATAGCCGATACGCTGCTAGCTAATGCCCCAAAATTGTATGTTCTTGAGCAGGAAGAAGTAGCATGCTAGCGGGAAGCTAGTTAGCTTTTAAACTCGCCATCCTATTTTGGGATTGGCATTCCACTGGGCAGTAATCCACAAACTTTACGTTTACATTCATCGTAGGGTGAATGTTTATCAAGTGTCAGTAGCGTTTCTTTATCTTGAGCGAATATCTGTCAATGTAAAGTGGCTAGCAATAAAAACTAAAATGATGTTGCAATGTTATCTGTGACGTTAGATCATAAATGAAAGAAACAACACCGGGCCGTACTTTTCCTTATTTGGTTTAGCGTGATTCTATTGGCATTTTAAAGTATCATTTAATACGCTATGGATATGCACAGTGCTAAATTAGTGCTACCATCTGATACATTTACAAGCGTGGTTTTGCTTTTGAAGTCGTAGTTAAGTTAATGAACTTGACTACAATTTTCATCTTATCCTCTGTTGCCATAGTGCAATGAACAGATGTCTAATCAGGGTAGTTATTATTAAAATGATTTTCATTCACTCTCAATATAGCTTTGTATACTGATACCTGTATTCATTTCTATTTTTGTTTACCGCCGTTTAACGTCCTCTGAGGGGGAAAAAAACTTTAACTTTGCATTAGGCTGTATATATTTATATAAATATTTAAATATGTCATTTTTACTTTTAATGGTTTGATATTATAGTGTTTATTCCCACCCACTTTCTAGTTTCTGTCTTGTGTCCTTTACATTGGGCATGTTCCCCCTGGCATTTTAAAATAAGCCTAGCTTCAGGATGTGTTGGTAGATGACTGCACTATGAAATAGGAAACTAAAGAAACTTGTATGTTCTTTTTTTAATTGCCTCACTCAGTCCTAATTTCCTGTTTTCCTTTTATCTATCAGGCCGAAAGAGAAGCTCTACAATGTCCTTAAAGCCACGGGTGGTGGATTTTGACGAGACATGGAACAAGTTACTGACGACAATCAAGGCAGTTGTCATGCTTGATTACGTTGAAAGAGCCACATGGAATGATAGATTCTCGTATCCTTTACCAAATTGATCCATGCTGATAGATAAACCACAGAACAAGGTTTCATTGATGATGGTTATGCCTTAGTTTAATCCAATGTAAATTAATTTATTTAAATCATAATTGTAGCCACAAGGGATTATATAAACAGTGTAATCAAACAGACATAGTTATTTTGATGAATAAAAAGGGCTAAAAGAAGATTTGCTCATTCGGGCCATGTATACATATTATCCCTATTTTCTTACATAGAAATGTATTAGCAAGGCCATCAATGACACAGATTTAATAACGCTATACTTAATGGGATTACGTTTATCTTTACTACTTATTTTTCCTCACCGTTGTCATCAGTGACATTTATGCCTTGTGCGTTGCATATCCAGAACCTTTGGGTGAAAGACTATACACAGAGACCAAGGTTTTTCTTGAGAATCATGTTAGACAGTTGTACAAGGTAAGCAATAACGAAGGTTTTCACTTAGAAAAACAAAGACAAGAAACCCACATATTTGCTTCCTTTCCTGCTTAGAACTGCTTCTTTTAATGCCTGTCAAAATTGTGTGTATTCTAGAAAGTTCTGGAGTCAGAGGAGAAGGTCTTAGTGATGTACCACAGATACTGGGAGGAGTACAGCAAAGGGGCTGACTACATGGACTGCTTGTACAGGTGACATCTCTGCCTTTTATACACTGATTATATGCTTCACATCAGTGAGTCACAGGGTCAATTCACCTTTTCTTGAAACATGTTTCTAGTCACAACACCTTTTGATTGTGTATTACAAATAGATTATTCAATTTTTCATTTCTAAGATACCTTTGTTTAATTCATTTGCAAAAATTTGAACAACAAATTTCAAGTGGCAACATTCTGAATGTCCACAGATAGATTTAATTCGATGTTCTTGTCGTTGTCATACTAGCAAACCCTAACTTTTAGATAGATAGATATACTCTATTTATCCCAAGCTGGGAAATTCCATCCAAGCAATTAATCGAAGATGGGTGAGCTCAGAAATCTTTATTAATCAAATCTAATTCTGCTCTTTCCAAATCTACCATATTACCACCCGCGGTAATATTGTAGATATTTTCTGCAGTTAAAATATTACCTTGAGAAGGATAGTGTGAGGTGCCAACGGGCGTTCTTTCTGCATCAGAAACCCCTCTGAGAGCTTTCAGATCTATTTTTATTTGTTCTTCCCACCAGACTACCTATGCATGATATGCCTGTGTAATTTATTCAGTTACTATGAGACAGGTAGTAAGTCTCTTGGCGTCAAAGTTACAACATAGTGGTGATCAGTCATGATTATGAAACAAATGCGAATTTTGAATTTAAGTCCAAAACAGATCTTTTTAGATGCTTGCCAGTTTGCATTCTACCCAGCAGAGATAATCATTTACAGGAGGTTGGTACATTCTGAACACCCAAAACAGTGGACAGTTAGGCTGTAAAACTGGTATCAGTTTAATGTCTGAGCTTCCTGGGGGTCAAAACCTGTCATGTGGTGACTTTAGCTGGTTCTCAGACCTCTTCTCTGTTCTTGGACCTGGTCCAAGTGAGTTAGTCTGGCTGCTAGTAACTGGGGAGTGAGTGTTACCATCTTCGACACCCTTTTTTACACTGTTTTTTGTTGTCGTTTTTTTGGTTCGGAGGTGGTGTAACCACTTGAAAATAGGAAATATTTTCTGATGCATTAACTGGTGGGCGAGAGAAAACATCCGTGCATGACACTGAGAGTGGAGGCTAATCGTAAATGCATGACCAACTGTATCTGTTGTGATAAGTATGTATAAGTAACATACTGTTATTAATAAAGGGACACGGTATAGAGCAGTCACCATAGCCTTAATTAGCCTCAGTGGTGATCTGGGACTATATAGAAGAAAAAAAAAGATTACCCTTAATAGGGAATTCTGGGTTGTTTCTAATATCACTGAGTTCTGTTTTGCTTATTGAAGTTTTGAGTGTATAAGAGAAATAAAGTTAAGTGTCCTAGCTGGTGGCCCAGCTGTGAAAACATGCCATCAGAGATACGCTGAGAACAGCCGACATCCACAGTTGATGCTTTTCAGCATCAGGGCGTCTGTTGTGTAGCTGCAGAAAAATCCTTAGCATGAGTTTTGGTAAAGTTTAAAGTGCCGATTAATAGTGTACAGTGAATCAATATTTGGAGGGTTCGTTTCAAGTTAGACAAAGCTTCTCCATCCATATGTTAGATTTGTAAAATGCTCTCTGCAGCCGTGTGGATAAGTTTGATTGTAGTTCTTTACTCAGTAGCTGTCTTATCCATAGCTGCCAAGACAAAAATACATTTACTGTAAATTGATTGATAAAGAATGGTTACTTTACTTCCTATTTTCTCAATGTAAAATACCTATCATCCTTTTAACTTTCAGTTAGCCATTTCAATATACATCAGAACTTGCCATTTGAGGGAAATGGGGTGGTCACTGCTCAACTCTTGAGTGAACACATGACATTTACAAATAAATAGCTCACAGGGCATTAATTGACACATTTTAGATTATTGTGAATCATTTGATTTTTGTTTATCAAGCTCATTGGGTGCAACTAATGGCGACTAATACAGTTTTTCTTATAGACTTGTTCCTATACTTGCTGTTCTGCTTTCAGTCAATTTCCCTGAAAAGGAAACCAAAACCTAATAGAGAAACCTCAAAAAAAATCCAATGGTCTCATGTTGTGAATTATTGTAGAGAAAGTAAAGATCAGAAATTATTCCAGGCCTTATGGAACTGTTTGACAGTAGCCAAACAGTTTGACTTTTGATCAAGTATTCTATCATCAGAGCCTTTTTTAGAAGGCCCTTCAACATCTTAACATTCTGACTGCTCTTTGTTCATTGTTCAGGTATCTCAACACACAGTTCATCAAGAAGAACAAACTAACAGAAGCAGATCTGCAGTATGGCTATGGGGGAGTGGACATGAATGAGCCGCTCATGGAGATTGGAGAGGTACTCCATTGTTCACGTCTTTATCCAGAAAAACTGTTTTAATCATATATGCAGAATATGGAACTTTCCCACGACTTGCCTAAGATTATGTAAAAATGCTGAGGGTGTATGCACAGAATGATGGAGAAATAACAGGGATTTCCTGCCCCAGTCTAGATTTCTCTGTACATTGCCCTTCAACAGTATCCTATTGAAGAATCTGCTTATAAAATACTGTCTTTTCATTTTCAGTTGGCGCTAGATATGTGGAGGAAACTGATGATTGAACCCCTTCAGGCTGTCCTGATCAGGATGTTGCTGAATGAGATTGAAAAGTATGCCTCTCACACAGACTTGTTTCTGTCTTTTTATGTTTGAAAAAAAAACAAAAAAAACAATTTAATTAAAAATTTTACCAGAAATCTGTGACTTCTCAAAGTTGCCAGTCTGCTTAGCCGTCCAACTTAAACAGCGAGGTTTCAGGCTCAGACCACACAGGAAAGCAAGCTAAAATGTAGTGCGAGTTAACATATTTATATTAGAGTAATTATGTTAGAAAACCGAAGTTGAAAACTCCGGATTACACTTGCAATGTGGGCACTCAAGAATAGAGACATGAACAGACTAATAGCTTTACTTTTTAGAATCACAAGACATACCAAAATGTGGCCTCACTGTATATGTATTGGTCCCTCAGTGCCCAGTGAGCCACATTTGGCTCAGGCAAAATTGGCTCAGGCAAAACCCTTCCGTGTAACCCCCCTATTATGTCCAGTACCAACAGCAACTGCACTAACTTTACTGAGTAAGCAGCCATAAGAAAAAGCATATCTGGTCACGGTTTTAAGATCTTTGCATCAGGATTGTTTACAAAGTATCCTCATGATGTCACATAACTGGAAGCATGAAGTTGCTGGTATCAGAAAAGCAGCATAGCCACTATGCTTGGAATGTTCCCGCTCAATTTTGTTGAGGAACAGTCATACTGAACTGGCTCTTTCATGTCTCACAGCGATCGTTGTGGCGAGAACCCCAACCAGAAGGTAATCCATGGGGTCATCAACTCCTTTGTTCATGTTGAACAGTACAAGAAGAAGTTTCCACTAAAGGTGAGACTGCAAACAAGGTCATTCAGTTTTCTTATATATTGTATTTCTTTTTCAAGATGGAAAAAGTCATCTTACAGGTAACTCACTACAAATTTTCATGAGTGTTGTTGTGTATTGGAAATACATGTAGATCTAGATATAGATCAATAGATTTATTTTTAAAAATATATAAGTATATATATATATATAGGTGTGCACATGTGAAAATACATTTAAAATATCATGACCCATTGTTTTACCCTTATGTTGCAGTTTTACCAGGAAATGTTTGAAGGGCCTTTTCTGATAAAAACAGGAGAGTATTACAAACAGGAAGCCTCCAATCTACTGCAGGAATCCAACTGCTCACAGTATATGGAGAAGGTAAGGATGATGAAAAAGTATCTTCAACCGTACCATGTGATTGCTCAAATTGCTGCATACATCTTTTTTTTAATTGTCATTTTCATGGTGTCTATTGTTTATTGATTATACGGAAGCTAGTTTGAACTCAGCATGTTTTTTTCTTTATTTTTAGCAACGTCCGTTAGGATTAGCAGTCTCCATTCACTTGAGGCATTTTTGTGAATCATCTTGGTCCTGTCTATCTGGTGACATGAGAGTTTTAATGAGTATTAGCTCAATGATTAGGCCACTAATGCTGATATCACTGCCCCCAGGGCTACTAAAGCTGCTGTTTCCTCTCCCTCACAGCTAGTCACTATCATACTGTCTCACTCATTGACTCTGGTAGTAATCAGATAGATCAGATGAACGCATCCCTTCGGCATGTAAACAAGACTCTTCTTAGAGCTTTAACAGGCATTAAGGCAGTCAGTCGTTTTGTTACTGTCCTGCCAAGTTGATAAGAATATTGTAATTTGATGTGAATATAAAAAGAGCAGAGATAGCCTCTCTGCAGTTCCTCCTGTCTCGATAAGCTCAATTAGCGGGACTTATCTTACCTGTCCGGTAGAATAGGCAGCTTTTCCTAATAGATTCTTTTGTTGATGTGTATATAAACTAAAGAATATTCTTAATGCTATACAATTTTTCTGTGGGCGTGTATCTTTTTTTGCCTTAATTAAAACCACTTTCCTGCAGGTTTTGGCGAGGTTGAAAGATGAAGAGGTGCGATGTCGGAAGTACTTGCACCCCAGCTCGTATGCCAAAGTCATTCACGAATGCCAACAGAGGATGGTGGCAGATCACTTGCAGTTCCTGCACGGAGAGTGCCAGAACATTATACGGCAGGAGAAGAGAGACGGTCGGTCCACTTATTTTATGTTCACAGGCCTAGAAAAATACAGAAATTGTTAGTGTGACCACATTACGTTGGACCAAACGTGTTTGTATTGCGATGTGTTCTCCAGACATGGCCAACATGTACACCTTGTTGCGGGCCGTGTCGAACGGGTTGCCTCACATGATTCAGGAGCTACAGGTCCATATCCACAACGAGGGCATCAGAGGCACCAGTAACCTCTCTCAGGAAAATGTGAGTAGTTGCAAGTTGGTGCCTTTACACATTATATTTGGTTTTTGGAAGGTTGTTTTGCTTGTAAATTGTTCTTTAAATCCAAGAGTGAATCATTTGTTTTGACCCTTGATCATAAATGAGAAGAACTTAACGTTGTCTCTCTTCTCTTACGCCTCTAGATGCCAACCCTGTTTGTGGAGTCGGTTCTTGAGGTTCACAGTAAATTCGTTCAACTCATTAACACAGTTCTAAATGGAGATCAGCACTTCATGAGTGCACTTGATAAGGTATGACAATTCTGCATCAAAAAACAAGATGTGTATTTTAGTTGCTGGCGAATGAAGATATTGCTTTTTTTTTCGTGTGAAAAGTGTCATTTGAATTGTCACATTTAAGACAGTTTAACAGACATGTGATGTGTCTTTCCCAGGCTTTAACATCTGTGGTTAACTTCAGGGAACCTAAGTCCATCTGCAAAGCCCCTGAACTTGTGAGTACACACACACAGATGCACTCTCCTGTATTGTCTTAAACACAGTTGTTTGACCAGGTAATTTCTTTCTGGTGTCTCTGTCCAGCTTGCGAAATACTGCGACAATCTGCTGAAAAAATCTGCAAAGGGAATGACAGAAAATGAGGTGGAGGATAAGCTCACCAGCTTCATCACAGTGTTCAAGTACATAGACGATAAGGACATCTTTCAGAAGGTAATTAGAAGTCTTAACATTGTAGTTCGTGTTTTTAACTTTCTAGTTGTTTTCCTGATGCTTTGAAGTGCACTGATGCATTACTAGCACGTTACACTTGTCGTGAGTTTGAAATAGTTAAATAAATTTTTGTCTGTTTTTATTTATTGTAACAGCCGTCTCAAAATATCCGATCTCTGTCTGTTTTTGCAGTTTTATGCCAGAATGCTAGCAAAGCGGTTAATACACGGTTTATCATTGTCAATGGATTCAGAAGAGGCCATGATCAACAAACTAAAGGTAAATCCTCAACAGCACCCTGTCCCATAAGACAATAGCACCTATAAAACACGTGATTGTTTTACTTGTTTGTATTACTTAACTTTTTTTTGTCACTGTTTAAACACTTGTTCTATCTTTAACTTTACAGCAAGCTTGTGGCTATGAGTTCACCAGCAAACTTCATAGAATGTACACAGACATGAGTGTGAGTGCTGACCTCAACAACAAGTTCAACAATTTTATCAAGACACAGGAGACCGTGGTGGACCTAGGAATCAGCTTCCAGATCTATGTATTACAGGTACGTAAGTAGAACTCAACGTACTTATTTTTGTTTTAACAGCTCAACTCACTTCTGCAGACTTTTGTTTTTTGCACTTTGAGCATACTGTAAATACTGCGCTGCATGCTGTTGTTTCGTAGGCAGGAGCCTGGCCTCTCACACATGTCCCCACATCCACTTTTGCCATCCCTCAAGAACTAGAGAAAAGCGTGCAGATGGTAAGAAGCATGCTGAACAATAAAATCGTGATACGAATGGCAGGAGCATATTGTTGGGTAACGCCTATTTTCATCCTCCTTTACAGTTTGAGTTGTTCTATAATCAGCACTTCAGTGGGAGGAAATTGACTTGGCTGCACTATCTCTGCACAGGTAACAAATATACACAAGAAGGATCACATATGAATGTCTTTCTGCACCATTGTAAACCAAATCCCAAGAGAAAGGGTGTAAATTTGTGCTATTATTGTTATTTATTTATTTTTATTTACCTCGTCATGGTATGCATTATGGCAGCACAATTGAAATGTTAATACCGCTATTATGATTGATAATGCTATGCCGAACCAATTTGCTTTGCGAAGGGAGGCTTTAGATTACATGGTTAAGCATATGGACTCTTGTTCATTTAGTTTAAAGGTTTTTTATTTAACCTATGTATTATTTATAATTTTATTGTTGGTCTTAATTGCCTTTAACTGATCTAAGGTCCATTTGTTTTACTGCATAAAAGCGGACAGCTTCTTTGTATAGATTGCATTTTTCACTGTCAGAAAAACAGAACAAAAATGCCATACACCCTAACCCAGATTGAAGGTGGAGCTTCCATTCACTGGCTCTGTGTCCTTTTTTAACAGAAGTTTAGTTTACATTGATATTCGTTACAAAGGGAATATGTATGCTGAGACCTAACCAAGCTAACTTTAGGCATCTGTTTAGCTGTCCCTCCCCTCCAAATCACAGTTAATGCCTGTGTAGCACTGGAAAACAAATCTCTATCCATCAGTTTAAACTAGTTCCTCCACCTTAAAACCTGCTCTGTGTCCATCATCTCTGCTGCCCATTGTTACGCCATTAGGCTGCATTCTATTAAGGCATCGGGAAACATTACAGCTATCCCAGAGTGCTCTTCTACAACATATGTGTGTGTATTATTATGCCATATTTACCGCCTGACTGGAAATCAGCTGTCTCACTTTTCAACTACAGCTGTTATGCACCATCTTCTCAAAAACCAGCGGTTCCCCACAGAATACAAAATCTCAAAAGTAATTATTGTTGTCAGTGACTCCGCTGTGTAACAGCTTGATTATTTAATCATGCAAATGGTGAGCTTGATGACTGTTTGGTTCATATAGTTCATTTTTGTGTCCCAGTTCTTGTTGGAATTGTATAGATAGTTATTTGTTCATTCTGTGAGTTTAAAAAAAAAAAAAATGTATATACTTAATTTTTTGACAATCAAGTGCTTGTTTGACATGCTTTTCTCTCCCCTGAAGGTGAGGTCAAGATGAACTACTTGTCCAAGCCCTATGTAGCCATGGTGACCACATACCAAATGGCAGTACTCCTGGCCTTCAACAACAGTCAGACGGTGACCTACAAGGAGCTGCAGGATGGCACTCAGATGAATGAGAAGGAGCTTCAGAAGACCATCAAGTCTTTGCTGGACGTTAAGATGCTGAACCATGATTCAGAAAAGGTCTCGGCTTTAATATGGGATAAGATGAAGTTCAGGTTCCACTTACTTAGACTGAGCAAACTGACCTCATGCCTTTCCCCTATGTCCACAGGAGGAGATCGAAACGGAGTCAACATTTTCACTAAATATGAGTTTCACCAGTAAAAGAACAAAGTTCAAGATCACAACATCAATGCAAAAAGACACACCACAGGTCAGATTTCTATGTCCTAACCTACCCTCTTTCAGTTTTTGTTGTTAGTCCGTGTAAAAGTAAAACGAGAAGTTGTGTGCAGTTTGCACAGAATCTGTGTGTAGCGCTCAAGACCTCTCTTGTCGGTCTTGCATTCAGGAGATGGAACAGACAAGGAGTGCTGTGGATGAGGATCGCAAAATGTATTTACAAGCTGCTATCGTGAGAATCATGAAGGCTCGCAAAGTCCTGCGACACAATGCCCTTATCCAGGAGGTGAGTGGAAACTGCTTCAATCCATGATATTTTGTGGACTCTTAAAAGGGCCATGGGAAGAAAAAAATATAATTAAATTATGATAAAATTTACCTGGAGTATAGTAATATTATGGGGGATAATGTGTTTATTGAAGGGTTGTTGAGAGCATGGGCATTAACTAGCTGTGCCCTGACAAGAAGGTATGGAACATCAAATATAAATTTACAGGTGAATACAGCAATTTTCCATTGGGATTATAAAATGCTGTGTACAGAGCAAAGGTGTGTTTGAATCTTTGTGTTTCATAGTCTGTATGTGAATAATAAATCCCCCTCTGATAACATAATGCTGTTTTGTTAAAGGGTTATGTTTGGAATGACATTTCCGTCTGTTCAAATCATGTCAGAACATGCCATTCAACCTCTGTCAGCTTACAGAACTCTGAGGGACCTGCATATTGTGTGTCCCTACATTGTATGTTCTGTATGAACATGAGTTAATGTACCTTAAAAGCTGATCTCATGTGTTTGCTTTAGATCACCTTTCCATTATTTTTCTATGGAAGAACAAACTAGGTCAGAGTTATAACACGGTTGTCTGGAAGAATGGGCTGTTTATGTAAAGAAACCTTGAAACCTCTCTGTATTCAAGTTTTTCTTATTTTCGCTCAATTGGTAAAGCGTGCTGTATATTTCTTGCCAAGGAAAACTAGCTGTGTGCAATAAAAATGTAAATTCTTAGATCTTCTTTAACTGAATTAGCAAGAACAGTTTTCAAGAGCTTGAATATGTGATCTGCTTTTACCATTATGTTTAATTTTCTTAGTTTTCTTACAGAAGACAAAGTTGTATGAGGTTTTTTAAGTTACTACTTCCACAACCTATTTGAAAATCTGTCTATGTCTGGATGTATGGCACATTATTGGCAGTGTTTTTTTTTTGTTATTGTTTCAAGATTTCTGTTTGTGTTAATAATCTTATCTGTTTGCTGAACGTAGCAAATAGGTTTGTTTCGAGCAGAGAGCTTTTAAAAAAAACCTTAACTCAAATGTGGCCATTGATCTACCCATTTTTCTGCCAAGCAACTGGTGTCATAGCATGTATACCAAGCAGCTATTGTGATTTTTTTGTGCCTGCTTTTTCCAAATATAACTTGACATGAATGGTTCCGCATGATTTCTCTAATCAATCTTGTGTGTTTTCAGGTCATCAATCAGTCCAAAGCCAGGTTCAACCCTAGTATCAGCATGATCAAGAAGTGCATTGAGGTGCTCATTGACAAGCAGTACATTGAACGAAGCCAAACCTCCGCAGACGAATACAGTTACGTTGCATAAGCCGAAGAGCTGAGAACGGAAGTACCTCCAGTAAAGACACTCGCCTATGTGACTGGCTTGCGGACATAGGTTAAAAAACTATAAACAGACCACAGAACAGACTCATTCATTTATTTTAGATTTTGGACTATTGGTGTCTGCTGTGATCCTGTGTGGTGACAAAAGGACTGATGCCTCCATCCACAAAAAAAGAGAAATGTCATCATGTCATGTCAGATAGCCAGCTGACACCGCTACCCATAAAGCCCTCCTTCAAACTCCTCACACTCTGATTTTAAGCTGTTTACAACATCACCAGTGCCACGCACCTGTGCGTTAAATGACAAATGAAAATGCCTATAGCTGTTGAAAAAGAAAGAGCTATTCAGCAAACTTATTGAGAGAGAAGTTAAAGAAATACGCCGGAGACAGAGTTAATTGTAACATCAATGCATTGGTCATCGCATTGGTGGCTACACATTAAGAAAAAAAAACATGCTTTCTTTTCTCACGTTTGCAGTTGTTGTGTGTTATTTTCTTTCTTTGTTAAATGTACTTAAATTAGGAAAAATATTGTAATAAAACTGGTATACTGACTATTGTATCTACTTTCAAATGTAAAGACAAAATGAGGTGACAAACATGATCTTGCTGCTTGTCAAATAAATAAATAAAACACTGAAGGCTTTTATGTAAATGTTTGTCTCTTGTCTCTATTGTAGGCATTTTAGTACCTATAGTTTCCGAATGTGTTAGAATGATTAAACGAAAATGCATCCAAATTTTTGTGACTGTATTTTAGGTCACGAGTAAGTAAGTAACTGAGTAGAATCAGGGCAATGATATGTACGTTGCAGGCTTCCGTAACGTAGCAGAGGAGGAAACGTCTTACGTACAATTATTACAAATATTTATCTATGAAGGTATATAGGCAATACATAAATGTATTAATACATTTGCATATTAGGAGTTCAAACGCCTTCTCACCTTAACGTTATATATTTTCTAGTTGACTTCGGCACTCAAAATGGGCGTTAACGTATGACGTACGTGTTGACAGCTGTCCATGGTGCTAATGCTGGTTGTAATGGGAGGCTTTCATGGCTTTTTGGAATATTCTAGAAAGTTCCATAGGTATTTTTAGGGATGCATAACATGACGTCCCGTACAATGTTGATGTATTTATCTTCTGGAAACCATTGGCATGGAAGACCTCGTGGCGCAACGGTAGCGCGTCTGACTCCAGATCAGAAGGTTGCGTGTTCAAATCACGTCGGGGTCATAAATTTTTATCGAAATATCCCTCGACAGAAAATACGTCTGCATTACAGAGAATTCCTTACATATCTCTGAACCCTCTCAACACCGACTTTCTTCATACCGTTGAAAGAGTTAGAAAGAAGCTTTATTGCATACCACCACATATAGAAGTCCATCGTACATTCATCATGTTAATCCACAGTGGGACCCCGAATTTAAAAAGTAATGCAGCACCTCCTCTTATTCCTGTTCATTCATATGTCAAAAGCTTGCTAGCTATTCAACAGATGGCATCATAAGACCAGGTAAGATAATGCCTATGAACAGGTGGTCAAACCACATTCAAGATAATCTGGATTAAAAAAAAATAACTAGGAACTAGATTGTGTCCTATCACACTTTTTCAAAGAAGTCAGAAATAACACGAACCCAACTCTGCATTAAGCTGCAATCATGTAGGACATACCGGTTTGAACCATAATAATGGTTGTTGTATAAAGTAGTGAGATAACAGTTTTAATTTTGTCATCTACACTTCAGTGTTTATAAAATAAAGTCATGCCCTTTGGCTCCAAGCCAGTCCAATGAAACATGAGTGATATCTTCAGGCTATCCGAAAATGCAGTGGCCTCTCATTTTTAGATGGTAATTAAATGATTTAGGCTTAATCCAGATGGGAAATTCCTGAAAAGACAAGCAGCAAACTTTGACACATTTTCTTAACCGAGCAGAAATGTGCTTGTGTATCATATTTTGATTGAGTCTAGGTCTGCAAATAAATCATTCTTGTTGTTTCTACTCATAGGGTAGCTAGATAAACTTAAAATTATCTAATGAACCAAAGAATCTACCAAATTAATATCTCTATATTTTGTATATCTTTCAAGTATAATTGTATTCTGAGAACTTAAAAAAAAAACTTACTGTGTGCAATTAGCTCAAATATAAACTATATTAATTATTTTGTTACTCCTGTGCAGAACTTTTGAGGTTATATATGTCCGATGAGTATTTTCCAGCCCATCTTTCTAAAGTATTTACAATACTTAGTCCTCAAATAATTATAACATTTAGCAGTTAAAGAGATATTTATGGTGAGCATACTGGAATGTTGCAGTTGAGATAACAACATGCATTAACAAGTCTATGTAAAGTATGTGTGTGCATTTATGTGTTAAATATGATGTTGATTTAGAGTTGTCACAGGAGTGGTATGTGTAAAGAATGACCTGTTCCATTGATGAGGACATGTTGGCACATGTTAACTGGGGGGAGTAATAGAGTTATATTGTAACCCTTCCAGTTATTATATACACTGGAGGTGTGCGTGCTGCGTTTAAAGTGTCTCTTTTGTGCTCTGTTCAGAACCAGTCTGGAAATGCTTCTGGGCTGAATTCGTGTATTCACACAGTTCAACGTGGGACTGTGAGAAAAAACAAAGCAAAAGTACACAACACTGAATGTTAGACCTGACTTCTTTTAAAACTTTCTAAATCTATGTGAAGATACACAAAACATGTCAGACGCCAACATTTACAGACATGTAGACACAGGTAGATATTAATTTAAATGCAGCTACTGTTGAAAGATTGTGTATATATTGAATAATTTCTGAACACATTCCAACTGCCAAACAACTTTGAAATCAAAGTTCTATCTTTTTTTCTACAATAAGTTTAGATGCGTGAAATATTTGTTTGTGAGGGTGCATTCTTGTTATTTTTTTACTAAATGTATCTGAGCTTCTAAGTTATTTCTAGTGCTTTGCATCAATTGATCCCCAAGGACCCTGTCACATTTAATATTAATATCGCAAACGCATTTGGGACCGGGGTCTTTTTTGAGTGGAGTTTGCACCTCCTGTGATTGTCTATTTGAATTTCATACCATCCAAAAGACATTGAACATTCTCAATTGCCCCCATGAGGGAATGAACATGTGTGATTACTACGAGCAATAGGTGGTATGGATAATGGATGGAAAATAGATGGAAAATGGATGGATGGATGGATGGATAGATGGACTACCTTTTTGCAACTTTTCCCCTTACCAGCCAGTAGGTGGATCCAAAAGCATGATAATGGGAAAACCCTGTTATCAAAGGCTTTTCGGCATTGCTAGAAGGCTGGCCCTGATAAGAAATGAACACACAACAGAAGTTATACGAATCAAAGTCAATTAAGCATGAATAAAAAAGTAAGACGTGAATTAAATGTGCATTAGACTGCGATGAGACCAAACGATGCAGAATTGTTAAAACATTTGGCCCTCTAATGGCATGTCACACTTGGGTGAAGTATACATTGGAAATACACTGGATCACACAGTGAGAGCTGCAGGGAGAGAAAGGTTGCAACTTTTATCTCTAAATTGGGTCATGCATTATAATCTTCCTTAGGGTGATATTCATCCTGTGCGGCAAGTAAATAATTCATAAAGTGTAGATACATCGCATTGAAATATGAGTTCTCCAGCCCAGGGTGAGTTCCACTCGTTCAAATATAGATCACATCATTGGTGGGCCGGTCTAATCAATTCAAGTTTAAACTTTGACAGCATTTGTTGAAAGACTACACTCTTTGTGTCAGATGCCATTCATTATTTCATTTCGAAACTGATTGTGTAATATTTATGACTGATGCCTTATGTCTAAAGTTCTATCTCTTTTCAGTCTTCCTCAGTATTATCAAACCATTCCAAACCAGCTCCAACCACAACTCAAAGGATTTAATACTGTAGATATAGTAGATGTAATGGCAGTTTAAAATCTTCATTAATTCAGATTTTGGGGAAGGAACTGACCAATTCTTCTTAAAAATGTAATTTGGACCAACCCAAACGTTAGTTAAACCCTGGTTTCCAATGCTGTCCTGTAAACATTTGCTTTATGGCCTCTTATCTTGTGGAAAATTGCGTCTGTTTTCAGTAGCTCCTCGTGTTATGACGATTAAATTCATGTGAAAGACAAATCCAAAAGGCATGTATGACCGTTTCCCCCAAGATTTGCATACTCAAACCAAAGAAGTCTCTACTTTTGGTACTTAACCAGAACCCAGACAGATCAGCAGCGTAATTCCCAGTTCCCTGGCTTGTTGTTGGGAACATTCTCAGTGCCTGCTCCAACATGTGGCGCACACGCAGTGTCAGTTGTCAGCTGTCCAGTGGTGCGCTCCCTCTCCGTAGACGCGTTTTTATTTTTTTTCTTCGTTGGGAAGTTTCTGTAAAGTGAGTCAACGCGGCTCTGGCTCTGGGAGAACGCCACCCCAGCCCCACCGCTGGATCGTGCGCTTTTGGGTTTCTGCCGCTTTTTTCTTGGACTAAAAAACAAAAAAGCCAGAAGTCAGTTGAAGCATTGTTTCACACGCCCCTGGGGATGTTTATCGTCGTTTTGACGCGGCTTTTTCCTCTTTGGAATTAACTCGGCGGAGTAGGAGGGGGGGTAAAAAAAAATGAAAGTGACCGTGTGTTTCGGGAGGACGCGGGTGGTCGTTCCGTGCGGGGATGGGAATATCAGAGTCCGTAGCCTGGTCGAACAAGCGGCAATGAGGTATAAAAAGGCCATTGCAAAGGTAAGTTTTCCCCCCTCTCTCTCACACATACACACACACACGCACACGCACGGTCTCTGCCGCCTGGCCCAAGGTGCTTTCGTAACTTTTGGCCGGGAGTGCGCCGGGCTGCGTGTTGGATCCAACACCGGAGCCGTAACATGGCGCTTTTATTTGGGGAAAAGGAAGAGCCAGTGGCTGCCCTTTCGAAGAAACAGACCTCCAGAGACCCGCCTTAGTGCAAGACTGAGGTGTGGTCTCACCTAAATGGCGCACCTTATTGTTTAAAAGGAGGTGGTCTGCGGAGTTGTTCCATTTGCGCCCGACAATTCCCAATTTCCCCGAAAAAATAGATAGAGTTCACGTTGAGGAACGTCCTCGTTTTGGGTTTCTTGTCAATTTGCCGGTTTTGGACTAAGTTAAGTGGAATAACTTAGGCTCAATGATTAGCCCAGGGAGCCTACAGGTGCCTTCAGAGCCTGCGCAAGAATCCAAACGAGCGTTAGAGATCCCGCGCTCTGTGGGTGTTGGAGATGTGGATCCCAAATTGTTGCACACATCCCTACACAATGGACAGACTTTAACTAATGAACTTTTAGCATCCTACATCAGACTGTTTTTAACAGGTTAAAGTTGGTTACAACGATGTCTCTATAAGAAAACAGTCATTTTTTATGATATTGTTATAATGAATGTATTCCTTGGAAAAAAGTTTAATCTGGTAAGGGGCTGTATAACTGTGTGAAACCCCTGTTGAAAACCTGATGATCCTTTCCCTCTCGTGGATTACAAGTGGTTGCGCTTTAAAGCGCGTGAGAGGATTTGCTCTAATGAATGAATTAAAGCTTGGTGCTGTGCCACGGTCGGAGACAGTACAGTCTTCACTGAATTTGAAGCTCACAGTGTAAAAACTAGTGTAAGTTGAAGAGTTTTCGGTATGTGGGAGACAGCTGGAGAAAACCCCTAATTTACACAGGGAGGACACGCAAACTCCACAGAGAAAAGGCCCCCAGCCAGGCTTCAAACTGGGGGTCCTCTTGCTTCAAACCACAACACTTTACGGCCCATCTCTCTATAATATTTGCGTCAGCAGTACATTATACTACTATAGACAAACACTGATATAGGTCAACATTAACACCCGTTCTGAAGAGCACTTCCTCTTTAGAGACAGAGCGATAATCACATGCCCATTCAGTCATTTGTCTGTCAGAGCATCACGGTTTCCCCTGCTTCAGCAGATCTGAGGCGACTGATCTATCGATTCCTGTGGCCATGTTGTAAATGTAGAGGTTTCCTTTGCATCGTGGTTGGCATTAGGTCATCATCACACACTTAAGTACCACAAGCAATACAAAACCTTTGCCTTACAAGTGGATCTGGGGGCATAGTAGGCCATAGTGGACATGTTACGTTTGAGTAAATGGTCCGAATTTATCTTCGTTTAAAGCTAGTATCCAGTACAGTTTCACATATGAGACACTTGATACAGTTTCAGAGTCCCAGCATCTGCTGAAGAAAAACTACCAGTACCATGAAAAAGTCTATTTATTAAAGTCTATTTATCAAACGTATTAGGTCCTACTAATCCCAAATTTCTCTGGAAAAGCATAAACACAAACCAAATAAAAGCTCGGGTCTCAGGAGGTTAAGTATTTTAATTTCAATATGAGTAGCTAAAGTATAATATGCATAGCCATCAAATTCTATCTCTCACACTGCAACACTTCTATTTATAGCCGGCTGTGCATGAAGTTGTAGTGTAAATAGGAAATAAAGTCACATATGGATGCGTTCATCCACAATATCATACATGTTATATTCATGTACAATGTGGGTATATGTTTGACACCTTATGTTCACATTCACTACTACCACCCAACTTTTGACTAATGCCTGTTTTCAATTATTTATTGTACTTAAGCAGTTTTGGATGTTCAAAAATATTTCTCTCATGCATTTGTCATTATACCATAATCTTTTTGGCATTGCCGTTAGTTGCCAGGAAGATATGACTGATGGACAAATGTAATCTCCACTGACAATTTGAGTCTTTGAGTTAACATGCTGAACAAGCCTAACTCAATCAGCCACAAACAGTGCTTGTGTACCTGGGGTTCCCTGAGGACTCTTGATGTCTTTGTCCCAGTCTCGGTGGGACCGAAAAGTAGGCGTCTGTCTGTGACTCAAGCGCCATTAATGTAAGAGTCAATCTGGCGTAGTCATTCACAAAAGATTAATGATCCATTGCTTCTCACCTTACATCTCAGTCCTTAAAGCTGTTGTTTTTTGCACTCAGCCAGTGAAGTAGTGACTGAATTTACCTTTATTCAGTTAATCTGAGCTGGAGCAATATAAGGAATTACCTTGGATTTACTGTTGCAGTACAAAATACATTTTAGGTGTGATTTGGATGTTAAAATCTCTTATTTTTCTTGCAATTTTATTCCAAATCTCCTCGACTTCCGACCAAGAGCACACAACAGACACACACACACCGCTGGTACACCATCAGGCACAAATAACAAAAGAATGCTCAAACATTCATTCACTGGCTCCATAATTTGTGGTTTTAACTCTTAAAAAAGTGCATTTCAAGATCATATTTCTCCTCTACTTTCCCACAGTTACTTAGCCCGAATGTAGACAGAAGCCTTAAGGAACATAATTGCCCTTCTTTGCTCCAAAAAGTCTCCAAATGCAGTCCCGATGACATGTCACAACATAGCCACATTGTTGAAGTACGCAAATGCTGAATTTTGTCGCTGGGAAAAAACAGATAGGGAAATCTAAGCCCTATATTTCCCTGTTAGTCTTGTATTTTTTCATCGAATAGATCAGCTGCACATCAAACGCATGTGTCCTTTGGCCCCTGGATGTCTGAGGGCAAGTTTGATCCCCTGAACCCTGGATTTATCTGTTATAGACCATAAAGATGCATATCACATCAGCACATCATACAATACAAAGCTTTGGATGAGTGTGTGTCATCTGTAATATCCATGGAAAAATCCACCCATCCATTGTATGGTCCAAACATTGTTTGCACCTTACTCTCTAAATGAAAGATGGATCTAACAGAAGTGTGACATCATGCAGACTTTCAGTATTATACAAGGCTGTACCACTAGAGAGGAAATCTGTCTGTCCTTTTAACAGATGGACCCTCATTAGTTTGCCGTTCTTTAAGGATTTCAGTAAAGCCACATTATTAGGAGACCAGTGGAAAAAGTGCAGTTAAAAAGTGGAGCCTGACAACAAAATATTACATTTTCCCCATCCAAAAAATGGTTCGGGGAAAAAAGAAAAAGATGGAACCGTCATCCAACGACCCTGGATACCTTTTGCCGTAACTTCTTCAGCGTGTTACGCAACTAACTTCTTCAAACACCACCGGTCTGTTCTGGGTCTTGCTGCACCCCCCCGTGCAGCAAAACTTCCATTTTTAATCCTCATTCTTGGGTAAGACTCACACACAAGCCTTTTTTTTTGTGGTGCAGCTGTGCAGAAAACATGCGGCAATTAGAATGTGGGAAGAGTCTTTGAAGGGGTTGTCAGTGCATATTAGCTGACCACACTTGGTGGTTATGTAATAGAGTTTAGACTGTATCCGAGTAGGTTTGAGGAGAATAGGTTAAAGTTGAAGGAGTTTAGGGGTGTGCGTGTTTAAGCCGCTGTGTTTAATTTAAATCACAGCAATGTAGAAAGCAGGAAAAGAAGAAAATAACTATATATACTATCTGCTTTTCTGCCTTTTCTTTTAATCTTTCTTCCTTTCGTTGCCTCACCTCTTGAAGGTAGATCCTTATTTTCCTACCATTCTCTCCAGCTTGCCCTCCTGCTTTCAAGCTGACTCCTTTCTAGGGAACAGCTGCATGCCAGTCGTATAAAACATCGCTCCTGCTGTTTCAAAACTCACGAGTTAAAGTTGGCCCGGGAGTTCAAAAACATTTGGAAAACTGCAGATCTGCTTCAGTTGAAACTTTTCATTTTCTATACATTGTTGCAACAAAGAGGTGAGGGAGTAGTCTGCAGTTTTAGATGGAGCCTGAAAACAACCAGTTAAAAGCTGTTTGCAAGTTCAAAATAGTTGGTATCAGCAAATGAAGTAATTTGGTACAATACAAGAAATCATGAAAAGAAGATAATTGTAATCAAACGTATGGTTTTAGGTATTGGATCAAGACAAATGGCACAAATTGACAATTTTATCAGCACATATTAAACCTAAATGACAGAATAACTACATATGTTATTGTAATAATGACTTACAGCTTTTTGATAAACAAGAAACTAGTAGCATTTTAACTTACACATTAAAGAAAATCGGTACCTATCAGTTTTTAATTTAAGAAAAAAAAAATTCTATTGGTAATTGTGGCAAGTTGTAAACTTCCTAGTGTCTGCTCTTATGTCAAAGATTCCCCATAGTATCAAGACTCGATATAATTGTTGACACATGTATGTAATTGAGCTAAAATGGAAACTTTAAGAATAAATAAAACTCTTAAGTATAGCGTACAGTGTGTTTATCAATGTGAATGTCTTTAAAGACAGTAAAATAACATCCTAGGACCCTTATCTAATCCAAACAGTGGCTCCCACATGGGTTACGATGAGATGAATTTGGGGTTTTCCCCAATAGGAATTGTGTGAGTTTGTATTGTAACAAGCAGTTGTCCAATACCTATGCTGGCAACTTATCGTCCCAATGTAGACAATATGGCACATGGCACATCTGGGTGATAAATAAATAGATTTAAGCAATAGAGACAAAGCAGGGAAGGTTTCTGGCAGAGAGGACTGAACATAGTAGGAAGGCGACAGGCCATCGCTCTGGTAACTGCCAGAGTTTTAGTATGCCATGCCCATGCCAAGCCATTACGTGAGTGCTTTTCCAATGACATGCTGGATGTGCTGTGCTGGGAATGCTCAGGGTATGGGTCAGAGTCCGACGTCACTGCTGATGTCATGATTTTGGTTTTATTCACACGTTCTTTTTGCCTTTTCCGTGCTCCTCTGCTGCCCTCGGAGCTGGATGACAGAAATTCCGATTGTTGTCAAATCATTTACAGATTTGACAGAACTTTGCCCTGCATAGTTCAGAGGCATATTTTGAATCGCGAGGCTTGATTTACAAGCTATTCTGTATTCTAGGTATTTTTTCATATGGTGACGTGGCTTTTGTTTTCAGAAATGTGGTTTTCTGTCAATTTTACAGAGCAAGGCTGAGTGACATAATGTACATGAACTCTATTCACCAGATAGTTTGTGTTGTCTGACCTCACCCACAGTCTAGTAATTGTGGCGATTCCTGTTCGTTATCTTAACTTGCTAGTTTAGATAACCTGGTTAATCATTAGTCTAAACCATTAACGGAGGAACGTAGCAGATTTAAGGTCATGTACCTACTAATGTTTACATTTTAGGCTTCTTTGATTTATTCACTCACACATTTTATTTTTCTGAAAAATTCCTCGCTAATTCATAGCAATCATCTGTAGCCAAAGGAAAGATGTATCTTAAAAATCCAGAAGATATGTTGTACCAATTTGCCAAAAGGTTCCACAATGTTTTTCTTATTTTTGCCAGAACAGTCACACTCCAGAGCAGAAAGTTGTGTCATCATAAGCCAGGCCAAGTTTGGTAATTTTCTTTAATTACCTAGATGTAGAGCAAATATTTAATTTCTTACTGTCAATCCCTAGATTGATTAAGAGGTGTTTTTTTAATCTCTTTATCAGATTAAGTCATATATTAATTGATATAACTGTTTTTCCATCGTATCATTAAGCACTATTTTCTGGATACACCAATTTGATTACATGTATCTATTACCAAATGGTACGTTAAGTTAATTGGAGACTCTAAATTGCCTGTTGGAGGGAATGTGTGTGGCTTTCTGTTTCTGTTTCATCAGTCTCTGTGTGTCTGGTGATTGGTTCAAAATGTACCCTGCGTGTCACCCAGTGGCAGCTAGGATAGCCTGCAGCACCCCCCAGACCACACTACAAGAATAGAACAATATAGAAAATGGATAAATAGATCCTTTAAAAGGTATTCTGCTGTTGCTGTGTAGAAACAGGGTTTAATATTGTCCAGATGAAGAACAACATATCAAAACTGATTATAAAATGTCATGTTTTGTGTTCTTTTTTTTTGCATGACATTGCATGGCTAACTTGTGTCTAGCAACCAAAGTTATTGCTGTTTTTGGCGCTCATACCCCAAGCTGTTGACTAGTTTCTACACACCCGCTGCCTAAGGCTCTAGTCTGAAAACATCACAAGGGGCGGAGGGGTGAGGTTTGTTTTTGTGTGCATTTGTATGACACCACACTGAAAAAAAGTGCATTCGAAAAAAAATGAAGGGTTTATTACAGATGTATTAGTTCGTTTCCAAGCTTTTATCTGTTCTTTTGATGGATTAACCATGTTGGGCGTGACAAGTGAATGTCCTGGGCCCAATATATTTTCCAGTTCTTTAATTTGAAATTGACAAAAGTGCCTTAGTAAAGTTAAAGAAAAAAAGCAGCTTATCTTAAAAGTAATCTCAAACCCATCATTCTAGCTGTAGAGTCCAAGTCAAATCAGAGAGGGAAAGCCACCTTTGAGCCTATACATTACTTGTAGAACTCTTTTCTAAACAGTCTGGGTTAACTTGGCTATGATGACTTTTTTCTAAACAGTCTGGGTTAACTTGGCTATGATGACTTTGTCCATGTTATTTTATCTGTTGGAAGAGTACATACTGTCATATACTGTACGTATTGTATATGCTCAGAGCTGGTGGAGCTGCCATGACAGAATAGAGCAAATTTAATTACAACACTGAATGACATCTTAAGAATGTCACTACAATGCCATATTTGAATGTATAAATGCATATTGATGCTGTGTAAAAGAAGAAAATGTAATTGTTTCTTAAGAAACCCTGTTTTGAAGATGTGTTGCTATGCAACAAAAAGTGCACCAAAAAGTAACTTGTCTTCTTTCTGCATGTTTTCTATTTCATTCTTTAATGTGTATTTTCTAATAAACTCTACATATAAATATGGATACATTTGATTTGCTTTTGGAGATCTTAAAAGTAAGCTCCTCTCATATAATTTGAATGAGGAGTGGTAGCTGAGAGGCCATGGTAGGAACCTAATTTCACCCAACTGAAACACAGTAAAACATGTCGACAAACATGATTATGATTTGCATTGTCACAGAAAAACCTTGCTGTTGTGCCAAGTGATGTGGAAGCTGTATTTGTAGTGGGCATAGCTATACATTTCACACAAGTCAGTAATACAAAGTAAGTTAAATTTAGAAAGAGATGATTACCACCTCTTTCCAGCATCATAGGAACCCAACCTTTGTTTCTAGAAAATTAAAAAATGTAATCCTAGCCTTTCCGGAATTGTAGATGTAATTATAACTATAAAGTGTTGGTGAAAGTTCACGTAGTGAAAATGTATTTGGTGGAAAGAAATAATAGCAGTAATTTTTAGTTCTTTGGTTGGTTCATATATGTTATACTGAGAGGTTGAAGCAACGGGAGTTTAAAATGACGACACTCAACTGTGTCAAACTAGTCTCAACGAACAACCACTGGAACTACACTAAGCTATAGAGAACTACTAACATTCATTTAGCCTGTTTGTAAAACCTTTATGTTCTTATATGTTTACATTGAAGTTGAAAAATATATTTTTTTGTATTCTAGGTTTAGCCTGTTACACAAATACGCGTTTAAATGGCATTTTTTTGGTACCTTTGTATTTCTCATTCCACACCTGTGAGGGACAAGTGTTAACAAAGGCCAACTCTGTGTGTGTGTGGTGTTTCGACTTGCACGCCATTCCAAGCTCTCTTGGGTGTGATCCACACTTTTGTTAACAACCTTAGAATATTGTGCAGTTTGCAGTTTGTGAATGAAGCCCAGTGTTTTTTAAAAACAACCAGTGACCTTTTACCAATTCATTCATTCTATTAATTTGTTTAAGGTTATTTACCAATCAAGTATGAACATGTTCAGGCCATTGCTTAGACATCCACAGTACCAGTGTAACGATGGTAGAGCAGTTACACTTGCTGGATTGTTGTTTACTTGTTAAAGCAACACAAAAACTCAGTTTTTAAAGTTTTGAAATGTCTTTTAAATATGAAAAAAGCTGTTGACTCTCAGAGTTTTACGTAGGGTATGTCAACAAAAACACAAGTCTTACTGTGAGCTTACCGTGTGATGTCCTACTATTGTATGCCCTGTTTTTTAGCAATATATTAGCTCATTTTCACCCAGGTGATAAAAAGAGCTGTGCTTCTTTCGGCTGAGAAAAGTACGTTTTATACTGCTTAATCTTTGAACCTTTCAGCTTACTTTTCTCTCAAGTATTTACTTAAAAATATCTAGCGGTTATCTTTTTTTTAAATAGCTTCCACAACCAGGAAGCATATTAGCTTTCAAAACCTGAGCTAATATAGGAAAAGCTTTAAGCCTTTTACTCTGTGATTCAAGATTCTTCCCCAAGAATAAATAATGTTCTTACATCATAATAGGAACCATTATTTTCAGTGCTTACAAAAGTGAAAGAAAGAGAAGAAGGCTGGAAGAAAAGACTTAAGCTGCTCTTAAGCTACAGGCTAATGGCTTACAGAAGTCAGATGCTTTAGCTCAGGTTGCATTTTCTGGCATCGGGTTTTATCTTACATCCAAATCTTTTTTCTTTTTGTTTGAGTTTACCTTGGCCACTTTACTTTTGGCTTCATCTTCCCCCCTAAAATAACAATTTTCCCAACAGACAGGGGTCGTGGTTCACGTGATTTATCTTCCTCTGTTGTCTTCCTATCTTTAAAGCAGGCCTGTCTGTTTTGTGAAGTGTCCAAAATGAAATTATGGAATTCAATCATCCTCTATTACATACATTAAGTCCTTTATTTCCGTGGGCCAAATGAAATGCGTTTTCTGCACGCACATCCAAAAAGATTTGAGTATACCTTTTATTGTAAAAAGCTTTTTTAAATGACAGGAAGGGAAATATTGAGGTAATTTTTAATGTTAATGAATCTAAGAATTAGGCTAGTGTACTTGATCTGAAAGTCCTTCAATTCCGTCTTGGTCTTTTTTAGTAAACAGTGAACTTGTAAGGCGTTTTTTGTTGTGGAATTGAAGGAGTCAGTAGTTCCACATTCAGATATATTTCTGATAAATGTCTTTTATGATCAATTCCAAGACAAGCATTTTAAGAGTTTTTCTGTTTTATAAAGTCTTTGGCCATGTGATATAACTTAAAAGTTGAAGTGTTTACTACTAAATATGATTAAATAACACTGTACTAAGTTATACTTTTTCGTTTTTTTTGTTTCATTTTAGACCCAGCGGTTTTGCGAGTGTAAATTCAGCTCATCTGGTTTCAGTGGTAACAATTAATTTTACTGCGAGAATTTTACTGATGAGTATGTAACGTTGTGGATTTGTCTGTGCAGAGTAATTTCCTGCCCAGACATTTTTGCTGGTCACAAGAACATGTTGTGGGATGATTAGTGTTTGCTTCGACCATGAAATGGGGTCATTCGGTACAGACCAAGAAAGTGCGGCTGAAAAACATTACAACTATTCCAGTGAAATCGGGGTTGCTTAATGTCCATCGTGCCCTTTTCTCAAACTTGTAGTTTTATTACTTTACACTCAGGGTGTAACAATGACCAAATGTTGTTGTTTTTTTCAGTTGTGCTGTCTGTCAAATTTTTCAGAAGTGTCCAAAGAAAATTCAATCAATCTTTGTCTCATAATTTCATACTGCTGTACCACTGTAGACTATTCCAAGTTATATTGTTTGGATAATTGGCACAGCTGAAGAACAACTGAGAGTCACTGCAGCCTGACTTTGAAATGATATAATGAGTAACAGATGTGTTAACTACATGTCTTAGGGTAAGAATAAAGGGCCGTGATAGCAGACAGGGCCTGTATATCTATTTTCAGAGGCTATGAGGATGCTGAGTTGCCACTGACAGGCCTAAAGTGTTGCACCCTGTGATTAGGGATCAGTAGTGTCTAAGGGAAGGAGTTTCTCTTTAAATTGCATCTGCTCTCTGCAAGCAAATCTTCACATCCCCAAAAAAAGCTAGCCTAAAGGATGCCGACCTGAAAAAAAAGCAGATGCTTTTGTGTCTTTTTGTCAAAGATAGTGAAAACCACTTGGATAAAAATGTGCAGGGCTTTCTGCACTGGGAACTTGTCAGTAGTTTTCTTTGGCTAAACTAGATATTTTACTGTGAGAATCGACGGGACAGTGGTTTTAGATAAGTTCACAGAAACCTTTTTTAAGGTTTAAATTGGAAGTTTTCAGAAAACCCTCTGACACAAATGCACTGTATGTTCTTTAACCTACAAAAGAAATTGAAGATGGCAGCGCTTTGTATATAAACATCTGTTTATACCTAGGTTGGGCAAAGACTGTACACTAAAAATGGGTGAATAATTCTTAAGATTATGTTAATTTTCGAGCAGGGAGTTTGCAGGAGGTGCTGATCTTTAATCATTGTTATCCAGAAAAGTGCCAGTTGAAGCCTTGTTGGAGCCTGACAAGCAGCATGAGTTAGGTATCATATATCACATTACATACACATACACACACACACACGCACACAACACAAACACACACACACACACACACACACACTTACACAAGTGTGCTGACTGGTGTACATTTGAAAGGACAAAGCCTTTTTAGTAATTTGTGTCTTATCAATGCTACATAAGTTCTACAAAGATATGCTGTATAAACATGACAGTGCATTAGTTCAACAATGCAACTCTTTCACAGATTAAGCTTGTTTAACTTTGATGTGTTTGCGGATTTCTGGAGTCAGTGTGGGTGTACGTGTTCGTGTTCACTTGCTGTAGGTGTAGGTGAGAGACCCGGTTTAGCCGGTTTGCCTCTGTCAGCTTCCACCCTGTCTGTCAAACAAATAGATTTTCCAGCAACGATCTTATTTGTAGTTACCAAAGAACAAAGTATTCTGTGGAACTACACTAATTCTTGAGAGTCCAGCAGACCAAAAGTCTTTGTTGATCTTTTAATATTGGGACTCTAAGAAGTGCTCCATCAATCAATCATCAATTTAATTAGGCAAATATGCAAGGTAATAAGCCATTGTTTATTAAATTACTCTTTGGTTATAGGTACATTAATTGCTGCAATTTCTCTTGCTTAAAAAAATGGATTCCATTTAATTTAGTGAGCAAGGGGAACCAAGCGATTGTGATTGGCCTAAAACCTCTAATATAACTATATGTGAATGTTCAAGGATGGTTTTAAACCTGGAACAAATCTTAAGGATTTTGCTGATTTGAATCATTTTAGTTTTGCTTTAGGTCATGTTGTTAATACAACTTAACACACAAAATCTCAGTGTTTCTATGTCACATCCATCCATCCATCCATCCATTATCAATACCGCTTATTCCCTGATGGGGTTAAGGTTAGGGTTAGGGTTAGGTTAGGGTTAGGGTTAGGGTTAGAGCCTATCCCAGTGTCTATGTCACATTTTATCATTTTTATTAATGAGCACTACTTCATCTGCTGAAATGAATGAGTTGTCTGACTCTGCTGGCCTTTTAGCCACACCATCTTCACCACTGCATGCAGGTTTCTACCACCAAGATTGACCATGTCGCTAGTGCAAAACAATGCCATTTTTCTTTCTCGTTGGATCTCTTCTCACAGCAAGCCTTCAACTTTGGTGGTCCTGAAGACAATTGATATCCTCCTCCATCACTCCCTGACTTTAATGTGCACATTTGGTGAAAGCAATGGGAGGTGGAAGAGGTGTGGTCGTGGAACAGTGACAGAGTAGCGTGCTGTCAAACTGATACAAAGTTATTGCATTACATTTCAAATTTTGGACTGAACTACAATAAAGGTGGTAGTAGAAGGGGGTGACCAGGGCAAAAAATTCCAGTCTGAATCATCAAGTAAAAGAAAAAGAAAAAAAAGTACACATAATCAACATTTGCTATTTTTATTTATTTCTTTTAAAGATTTTTTGGCTTTAGTGGCCTTTAATGACAGTAGGTTGACAGGAAAGGGGGCAGAGATAGAGAGGGGGAGACCTGCGGGAAAGGGCCGTGGGCCGGATTCGAACCCAGGCCACGCGTGCATATGGGCCGCCCGCTCTAGCCATTAGGCTACGGCTGCGGCCCCATTTGCTATTTTTAAATATTTATTGTAGTAAGGGGTTGATGCCATTAGAAACAGAATTGAATGATAACCTCTCTTGTATCAGTAACTTTATGAGATCCTGTTGATAAAATATGCTGCACAGTTAATTACATAAAAAATGATCTAACCAAGGTTTGCAGAATGTTAACTGTCAATATAGTCCTTCCATCATTAAGCCTTTGCTGCATTCTCCTATAGAACTAAATACCTGTATATGCATGTCACTAGTTATTAGGAAAATGATGGACCTTCCAAAATGCAACAAGGTTGTTTTGGGGATTGACGGGTTGTTTGTATGTGTAATCATCTACTGTATATGTGAGAACATATCTTTTCCCACTGGTGTATTCTATTATTTTATTACTTATTAGATTTATTTTTGCTGTTTTGTTTCAAAACCATTTTTGTCCTAATTCAGTCTCCTATTGTAATAATTATCTTAGTCTTTTCTTTCTCTTTTCCGTTATGTTTTCTTATTTGCAGTTTTTAAACAATGTATTATACATTATCACACAGAGCTCAATTAAAGAGACCTGCTTTAGTTTTCTTATGCAGAAATAACTTAATTACCAAGTAGTTTGGAGCTTTTACTTGTGAGACTTTTTCTGTCAAACCTAGTGACTGTGCAGTCAAAGTTTCCTTCCTGAAACGGTTCTCACAGATTTGTGGGTCTTCTACAATAGTGCCTTTGACAAAAGCACTGCATCCCCCTTTTGGGCATGAAATACAGTCATAGTTGTCAATTCCTGGGTGTTGTGTACAAAGGCAACCAAAAGGTATCTTCTATTATCTGTAGAAGACTTGTTATAGAACACTAGTAAGTAACAGAAGACTAGTTATGGACAGAAATTATATTAACATAGCTTCTATTTTGTTAACTATTTTCCCAGGAATATATGATCAATTCTAGAGATAAAACTGAAAGATAACTGAATGAAAAAAGGTGTCAAGTTGTTGTGATTTGTTCTCTGCTCATTTATTATTTGATTGATTACCATTATCTTTGGTTGATTGCTACTCCGTAATCTATGGTTAGATTTGAGGTATAGAATTCATAGCATCTTCTTTAGATGTAGGAAAAGTAGTGCACTGCAAGTTGATGTTTAAAAAATTTAATGAATAAGAAAAATTGTGGTGGGCTGCCTATGGATCAGTGAGGAGGAGAAGGGGAATTCTTCGAGTTTTTGCAGACTAGTCAGTGATATAGCTCTGATGATTCAGCTTCCGCCAGGGTCCCCACCTTCAGCTACTACCCGTATTGCACTGCATCTGACCCCTTTGACCCATCCCTTGGACGGTGAGCCCATCGTAAGGGAGACCCATGTGAGTCCACCTGGTGCATGGCAGCGTGCCCCACCACCGGGCCTGGCTCCAGAGAGGGGCAATGGTGATCTGGGCAAGGGAACACTTTGCCCATGTGTCGCACTTCGTCTAATCCCTCACCTACGATCTTGTGGCAGTAGTGCTACCGTGAGTGTCCCGACAGAGTCTTCCAAGACCAGGATTTGTTGGTTGAGATGGTTTATTCGAGCGTGTTGGGCTTTTTTGTTCGAAGGCTGTTTGTGGCCCCTATCTGGTGGCTCGGGTCCTGCTCCAGTTCTCCTTCCTCCACCAGGTCCAGCACGCTACTCTTTTTTACAGAGAGGAGAGTGATTAGCCAACTGATTCCAGTTGTGCTTAATCACCTCCCTTGGCACAGCTCCCCTGAGCCTTCCCCACACCTCCCCTCCTGCAGCTGAGCGCCACGCCCCCTCCACAGACCTGTTAGCCTTGGGTGCCCCTACCAAAGGCTTAAAGCCTCCTACAATCATTGGGATACTCAAAACCCTCCACCACAATAAGTTGGCAGCCCAGGGAGGGGCTGCTACCCCCTCACAGACGAGTGTTAAGCGGACGGCATGCGGATCAGTACCTCCAAATTCGAGGCCATGGTCTCACACCAGACAAGGGTAGAGTGACCCCTCCGCGACAGGGGGGAGATCCTTCCCCAAGTGGAGGAGTTCACCTACCCCGTGGTCTTGTTCAGAGATTGGCAGTCAGATCGGTGAAGCATTGGCAGTAATGGGGGTGCTGTACGTGGTGAAGAGAGAGCTGAGCCTAAAAGCAAAGTTCTCAATTTACCGATTGATCTATAAGCCCACCCTCATCTGTGGTCACGAACTTTGAGTCTTCTCCGAAAGAACGAAATTGACGATACAAGTGGCGGAAATGGGTTTTTTCCGCAGGGTGGCTGGGCTCCCTTAGAGATAGGGTGAGAAGCTCGGCCATCCGGGAGGGGCTCAGAGTAGAACACGTCGATAGAAGCCAGTTGAGGTGGCTCAAACATCCAATTAGGATGCCTCATGGAGGTGTTCTGGGCACGTTCTGGGACCGGGAGGAGACCCAGAGGAAGACCCAGGACAGGCTTGGAGGGACTGTGTCTCGCCTGGCCTGGGAACACCTTGGGAGGAGTTGGCAGAGGTGGCAGGGGAGAGGGAAGTCTTGGTTTCCCTGCTTAAGCTGCTCCCCCTGCCGCCCCAACAGAGGAAAATGAATGGATGAATAGATGGATCGACTTTGACAGTTACAGGAAGTAACTGTGTATAAAAACTGATATAGAAACGCAGATGGATTCATTTTACATGAATATTTATACAAATTAATACACAGCTCCACACACTTGCTACAAACTTGGTGAAGCGCAGCAATAATGTATTTTTTCCATCACTAAGTATTAATTAGAATGTGGACCTGTGGTTTTTCAGATCTTATATCCAGGATCTTCAAACTAGACCACTGTATGGCATAACTTTGCCACAGTTACTCTGATCATTCCAGAATAGAGTTGATGCATGCAGTTTCACTCACAACAGATGCAAACAAGCTTTCACTTGCTCAAGCATGCTGCTGAACTGTTTATCTGTTAGTGCCAAGCTTCAAAACAATAAAAAAAGATGAGGTTCACCCAAATATTTGAATTGATACATAGTAGAGTAGACACAAACATACAGTGCACAAAAAAATAAACATATATATATATATATATATATATTTTTTTTAAAGTATATATATA